GATTTGCAGGTTTGTCTGCGTTCAAAAATCAATACTCGATTAGATCCAGGTCGACTGTGACCAATCAAGAGCGATTCAAAGATACTTGGGTGCGATTCATGCCTTTTCAATGGTTATCGCAGAATTAGTGTCTCCAGATTTACGGCAGCCGGAGGAGCATCGCTCACTTCATTTCTTCTTCGTATTACAATGTTTTTGAGAGCCCGAAGATTTTGAAGTGAATTATGAGCTCCTTGTGGCAATCCAGCTGCGCAATCTTTTAACGGGCGTTTCTATGCTGTCTCTGTATGTCTTCTAATTTTGGTTACAAGTTTTGCTACTTCTACATCCTCCGCTGAACTTGCATGAGTGAGTGTTCACCAATCATCATGAAAACAGCTGTCGCTGCTGCGTATATCCTTGCTTTGCACAGACTTCTCTTCACAGCGCCAAAATTTCTTTGTTCTATCAGCACTATTCTTTTTAAACACAACAAAATGTCTGACGGAAACTTCTCCGGGTTTTGTTTTGAAAGCAGCATTGCGAACAACCTCGAATCGCTTCCCGTACTCTGGAGCAAGTCGTGTGCTGCTATAAGCAGTGATGGAAACGTCATAGCGGAACTGATCTGACCAGATAGCGGCAGTTTACACTGGCGAAAACATTACCTCGCTTTGAATTAATGACCTCGCGGAATTATAAGAGAAAATCAGATGAAACATGCATAACAAAAACATAAATTTGACGGTTGATTCTATTGTGCTCTCATTGAGCTTTCCATTGATACGCAACATGATAATATAAGTCGCAAAGGTAATAGCGCTTGGCATAACGAAATTATATTGAACACAGTGGTTAACTTAGCGAAATGAAGTTGCGCAGAATTAATTAACTCCGGCCGTCATAAAAGAAAATTCTGATTCTCGAAATTGACTAATTTGACAGACCTTAAGTACTATAATCTTCGAGAGCTATTAATTAGTATATAAATAATGAACGTCTACTGATATAGACAGTCAAACGCGCGACCGCATGATGCGCGCTGATTTACTGAGTTCTCGCAGGCAGAAAGATGGACTCATAAAATAAAGCGCGAAATCTGAGATATTCAGTAGTTTGACAAAAGTTCAACATTATGCTCACGATGATCTCTTTCTTGCATTGGGTCGGATGTAAAAGATCGACTGTCGAATTTGAGTTGCCAATGGCCTGCGTGAACTAGCCTGATCCATTGTGACTAAGCAGAGCTCAGTCTGAAGACTAATCCCTCGGTATTGAAGTCGACCATCGTCTTCATGTTTACCTACGATCATGGACCATGACTGAAAAACTTCGAACCCAGGTGCAAGCTGCTGAAATGGGCTTTCTTAGACAAGTCGCTGACCCTACG